TGTGGCACTGAATTCTATAGGTGAATAATGCATGCTCTATTTGAGTGTGAATGTTTTCAGGCCAGAGAACCAACTTTTTCTCCACTGATATTGGCTGCCATTAAAATCATTACTGGCCATCCCAAAATTAAATCAGGGATTATAAACTGACTAAAATGATTGGTAATATAAACTATACAAATTTGTTCCTTCCCCTCTCCCTCTTCAAAACATACTTCATTTCCAAGCTTGACATTCATTTCCTGAGAAACACGGGCAGCAACACTCATAGCTGCGACTCGCCTGGGTTGAGTACAGCCAATCTTCATTCCTTTCTTGGTGTAACCCTGTTAGGAAGAGACAGAGAGAGAGAGAGCGAATCTCCATGATTCAAGATCTCAATACCAAAGCTGTTATGTGCATAAAATGGTTTGTGTAGGAGCTAAAATACTATGCATGCTGGGGACAGTGGATTATAAACTCAGCAGTTCATAGCCGCTCTCAATAATTTATGGATGTGCATAGAATTATTTGTGAAAGTGCTAAAACCTCTTCCTGCTGGGGTCATTGGATTATACACTCAATTGTTTATGGATATACTAATAAGCAGACAATGGAACACCTGGGGTTTGTCAAGTATGAAAAATTGACTTGTTTCCTCTGTGTAAATCATCCCAAAGCACTGATTCAAAAGTTTTAGTACATGCACATTTTAAATATTCCTAAAATCTAAAACCGTTTTTCAAGGGCATCTCTGGAAATGTAAATACTCAACTTGTATTGAGTGGGCAGCAAAATGTGGGTTTTGTAGAATGTGTCAAAAGGCAAAATGTGGTCAAATCAGAACCCAGGCACTGTAGAAAATACTACCTACCCTTCTAAAGTTCTGGATGGCACTTAACAGTGTTGTTTTTCAGTGGGGTTTTGGCTTGCCGTGAAGGCTGTGAAAGATAATTTCATTTTTAATGTTAACTTATTGGTTCATTTATTTACTTATAAATACACTGTCCAAAGCTTGAACAACTGGGGCAGTTTATAAAATAAATAACTATTTGAGGGGGATGTTGTTTTTTTAATGTGCATTTTTTCATCTTGATTCTTGCCCCACTGTTGCAATCATAACAGTTTTAAAATCCTAAGTTTCATTTGGAATGGAGGGCAGAAATTAGGAAAAAATCTTTATGGACCAATTTTTTAAAAAACTGGAATCTCCTTTAGTTTTATTTGTAGCTCAAAACAATGTCCACATACCCCATTCAAAGCCTGAGCAACCATGGACCAGTGACTACCATGATTTCCAGACAAAGGCACTGGGGCAGAGAGAGAGAGAACAGGACAGCTGAAGTCCAGCCAGAGACAACCGCAGCACAGTGAGCATTTCTGGAGAACCAAATTGCAGTGCAGACCGAATCCTAATATTGTATGCAGGTCTAGGATTACAGAAGTAGGTGTTTGCCCCCGTTGCTTTTAGAACACCAATACCTAGCATGAAGTAGAGACCAAAGAAGCAGTATTTCCCTCCTATAGGCTTCACCATGGATCTCCTTCACTCCTGTATTTAATTATTCTCCCCCTTCCCTATCGAGTTACCTCTTCGCACAAATACTGTGGGATTTGAGTGGTCTTGCCAGAGCCGGTTTCCCCTTCGATAATCAGCATCTGATGTTGAGCAATGGCGGCCAGTAAGTCTTCACGGTATGGGAAAATAGGAAGGCTGCGGCGCACCTCCTGGATAGACAACTTCTTGAGTTCAGCCTGGGACAGTTCTGGCTTCTCCTCCTGGCACCAAGGAAACAGAGATAGACAAGCTTCCCTGGATCAACAAGAACTGTTGGAGTCTCTTTGGTTCTATATTTCCTATCCCTGCACAAAACTGATACCGCAAGCAGAATGTGGGAGGCACTGTAGATCAATGGCATTTACCTTTGTTTACCTGTCAAAGCTGTCAGGCGCAATCCTTCGTAATGCTTGATAACAACCCAGAAACAATCTATTTGATTCCAAACGGGTGGATTCCTACTGGTTCGGCCGAACTGGTAGTAACTTGGCTGCCTGGGTCACTGGAACCAGCAGCGATCCAGGCCTGCTACACCCATCAATGGTTCTCTCAGTGGCACCATAGGTGCCGCCATCTTGTTTTTGCCTTCTGCGCATGTGCAGAACAATTTTTGTTACATTGTGCATGCGCACGTGGTGCATCCCTTAGCAAACCAGCAGTAGCAGCAGCCGGAACCCACCTGTTTGATTCCCTTAATTTATTCTATAGAGATATTAAGCTAGTAAGTCTGACTCAGCTGCAAGAGTTTCCTTTGGCCACCCATATTTAAGCAGCACTTTAATACAGAGAGTGATGGCCTTGGGGGAAATATTCAGAAGCTGTTACAAAACCAAAAAGGACAGAAGCAAGCCTTGAGCCATGGGGGTGGATATAATATTAGGAAGAGACTCAGGATGGCTCCTACTTGACTCACTGGGATTTAAGAGGGAGGGGGAAAGGAAAGCAAACACACAAGATTCTGTTATTTCTACTTCCCTCCTACTGTCAAATCCTAGATTCCTTATCTATGTTCTCATTATTGTAATATTTAATAAATAGCTTCCTTTCACTAACTCATCGAAATCAATTCCCATTTTCTAGAATTCCTTCTGTTGAGGCAGAGCTATTTGCCCAGCTTTTGCTTCTAAGACTCTTAATTTGTCCATGAGATCTCTAACCCAGGGGTCCCCAATCTGTAGGCCATTGTCCAGTACTGGACCGTGGGCCAATCACCATTGGGCCATGTGACTAGCTTTGACACTGCATGCATCTCCACATGAGACTTGCCACAGCCCCACTTATGCAAGTTTCGTCACGGCTCCACTTGCGCGAGTGTCACTGTGAACATTGGACACATACATGCTTGCCCCTCCCACAAAATAATCCCACTTTCCTCCCCCCCCCACACTCCAGGCCACCAACCCGAAAATATTGGTGAATTCTGCTCCAATCAATTGGCCAGAATCACTTCATTGAGTTGGGCAGCTACAGAAATTGAATAAATAAATGAAATAAATAAAATTGATCCTTACATCCCAGAAAAATAAGTATTTTTCAGGGACAAGATCTGAATTTCCACTAGGAGTTCTTGGCTATGTTAGTGTCTCATCTTCTCTATTCCCCAGCCTGCACCTTCTTACCTTGTTCTGATTTGCGCCCCGCATTTGCACAGCATTCACAAACTGGATCATCTCATCCTCCTCAAGCACATACTCATAGTCTTTGCGTGGATGGCGCTGATTGGCGTCCCGGGCCCCAAAACGGAGAGCAGCTGCCCCAATGTGGTCTTCCTCCCAACGCCGCTGCTCATCTCTTGGAGCCATGTGATCCTCTGCCTGGGGCTCCTCATAACGATCAGGAATCTTCTGCAGGACAAAATCAAAGAGAATCACCAGTGCATTCAGCAGCTCAGTAGCCAAGGTTTTAGTTCAACAGTGCAGTATTTTTTGCACATTTTCTTCAGAAGTATAAAGTTATATCCCCAAGTGTGTGTAATTTCAGGAAGCATCAAAACTCTCTTGTCTTTTTGTACATTCTATCTACTGACCCAAGAACCAGAATCCCATGAAAAGGACAGCAAGTAATAGGCCTGAACTTCAGTGCTTGTGTTCAGACACAGAGGTTTAATCTAATGTGGCAGAAGTAAAAGCTAATAGAAATATTTAGAGAAGAACTGGATTTTACGTTCTGGAAGATTTTTTTTCTTTTGTTTTTTCTGATGCATAACTTTTTGTTTTTGTTTTTAATGTTATATAAAATGGCTAAGATATGAAATCTGAAAATACATCGGATCGAAAAATAAACCAACAAGCAGAAAGACAGAGAAGCTGCTCTTAATATAGGCACACTTTCAGTTTCAAAAAAGTCCAGAAAAATGATAAAAGGATAGCAAGAAACATTGCAAAAAATACAAGCTGCTGCTAATAAAGTATTTCAGATAGTGGGACTGATAAGGATTGTTCTGAGTCCCCTATTTGTCCTGGTGGATATTCGTGAAGACAAAAGCCAGAATTTACCAAACATTTGGTCTTCCATGTTCAGTTTATTGAGTTGATTCCAAGTGAAGCAAATTGTGTATTTACTGATGTTCAGCAATGGAAAACATGCTACAGCAGTGATGCAGATCCTCCAATGGTTGCCAACAGGTATCTAGATGCAATTTAGCCCCATATGTTGGTCTCTGGTTACCTGCAGATTATCTTAGGTAGAGTTCTTTCCTACCCCTGATTATTGCAAATGTTTAACTGGAGATCACCGGGATAACCCCAAAACAATACTTTATGTCCTTTCTTCGATCTACCACTCATAAGAGGGAAGTAGCCATCTCACCCATCCCTGGCCCCAAACTTTACACACATACACAAAAAAAACCCTAGCATATTTAACCGTCACAATAAT